ATGATTGTAATAATTGTCATTATTATTGTAATCATATTAAAGTAAGTATAAATTGACACTATATATAACTATAATGGAAGAAACAGGAAAAAGATTGTTGGAAAGAAATATGATGTGGCTACTAAAAATGGTTTGACTGATAAGCCATCAATTAGTGAACATGATGTTTCTACATGTAACATCAATAATAAATCTTATGAAAGTGTTGAATGTAAGTATTTTCACACTATTGAAATGAGCAAATAAATTATTGTGACGACTTTAATGCTATCATTTACAATACATAATAGCGCCATGTACATACTACATAGTTACTTGTACATGTATAAATTTGTTTTAACTAGCTGCCTTCTTTCATTACAGTAGAAAATATTCAAGAGGTAACCTACAGTACAGTAATGAAGCCTAAAAAACCAGTGATAGAAGAGTTCCCTAGTAATATGACAACTGAGGAAGGTCGTGAGATTCTTTTGAAAGTTAAAGTGAAAGAAACTCCGAAATTGTCTTTTAATTGGTATCATAATGGAGAGCCAGTGACTGATGATTATGCTCATGAGCTGAGAGGAGATGGTAGTCTACTGCTAGTGAGTGTTGAGGAGAAACATAAAGGAACATATTGTTTTGTTGCTAATAATGATGCTGGAACAGTTAGTCAACAAGTTGTACTCACAGTTGCAGTGGAGGGAAGTGATGAGAGCAGATTGTTACATGGCGACTCATCCAGTGCTAAGGTTGGTATGATTCCTGTTGATAAATTTGGAGAATTTGTTGCTAAAGGACATGCTAAAGGGAACAAGGGATTTAGAAATCAATTTGGGGTAAGATGTTTATTTTTATTTCTTTTTTATATCTGTCTCATATTTCTCGTTTCATTTATGATTCTATAACTTCTATGTTATTTTTGTTAATAGATGTTGGACAGTGGTGAGAGTGAACACACAGTGACAGTTGGTCTTACTTCAAGCAATAAACTGTTGAATCGTTTTGCAAACATTGTAGTGTGTAAGTTACCACTAAAACAACATTATCATTGAAAGATATACTCACAGTATATACAATCATTCGTTTAATGCATTACTGTTATT